CAGTGCTGCCATCTGTCCTGATCAGTTTAGGAGACCAAACTAAGTACCTGTTTCCAGGGGCGCTGCTAAGGATTTTGGGCCCCATGAAAAGAATCTTGACAGGGCCCCCAACACAGCTGAGACTTTTTTTGGGGGCTTCTCTGGGCCCCCTCTCAGTCATGGGCCCCGAGAATCGTCATCGTTTACCCCCCCTTTACAGCGCCCCTGCCTGTTTCCCACGCCTTCTGCTAATCATGCTTTATGAAAACTGGCCCTGGGAAAGTCATGATACCTACTCCAGAGCCACATAGAGCGGCAGCGTTTACCGCCACTCACACTATGCTTTTTTTGTGGCGGGCCCCCAAGCTCTTGGGGCCCCCAGTAGGCCACAAACAGTCACTACACTAAATATTTAAAAAACACATTCCTCAGTTATTAGATACTGAAGCAGCATGTTCAGTTAACCAGCTAGCTGGCTATAATCCTTTGAGTCTACTAGCTGGCTATTCATTCAATGTGAGAGAGGGTGGGGCTTTGCCCCCCCCCCCCCACCAAAATGACTTTCTGAGAGGGGTCCTAGAAGCAGCAAAACTGCCTCTGGTTGTATGTACTGTAGCTTTTCATAGCCCGGTTTTCATTGAGTTGATGCAGTGTGTTGACAAAAATGCCATAGCGTGCTCTTTAACTGTTCTGTAGCTACTTAATGCACCTCAGTAGGATTCCTGAGTTTCTGTCCTATTCCTGCCACTGTTAATGTGTCACTCAGCCAGTTGTAGGACTGGCTATACATTTAGGCCAAAATTGAATTTGCAGAATCAATAAAGATCAGCGACTTGCTGCTGTCGGCCTTTGGCTCCTTCTGCACAGTTCATTACCTACATTATTTATTTGATTCATTGATATTTTTCAAATCCAAAGCTGTTTACAAATTCAATTTATCCATATATACAGCTGATGTTTATTGAAGTAATTTAAACAATAGTCATTCTCCCTCTAGAATTGTTCTAGGCAAAAACAGCGTATATTTATGCATGTCCATGAAAGATATCTGACACCATGGTGCTGTTCTTTAAGCCTTCAGAGTTGTTCTCTGAATCAAGGGTCTTTATTTTTTAGGAATGGAAAAAGAGACCAAAATCAAGACTTGGAGACCAAAATCAGACCAGAATCAAGATCTGGAGACCAAAATCAATTTGGAGAAGAACAGTCTCTTCTCCCAAAAGTCTCTAGATTCTGGCCAGGGAATCTTTATAAAGAATTATAAATAAATAAATTTAAACAATAACGTTGAGTCTCACAAGGAAAACCTTATCAATTAATTGCCTGAAGAAGCTTGATAAATTGATACACTTTGACATAAATATCCACAAAGGAGTCAGAACTAATATGAATAATGAAATTCAGTGCAATGCACCATATACTTTTGTGTTTTATACATATGATAGTTCTTCATATTTGCAATTCTGTGTGTTATTTGTTAATATTTTGCTAATTAATAATATTGTTAATCTTTCCTTGTGTCTTTGTCCAGATTCCACTCCCAAGTCTTACCAGGTCTGTGTAGTTTGAGCAGACAGAATCCACCTTGGGAACAAATCAATGACCACTAAAGATCAACCTGCTCTCATCATTTTGATGATGGCCGTCTGTTATGGACATGTGACTTTCACACACTATCCTCTGTGGTCTGTTTGTCACAATGTAAGACTTGCTGATGAATGTTCCCCAGCCTGGTGACACCAGAGGGCGAGAGAACGCCTTTGTCTTGACAGTTTTGCGCAATATAAAAATTAAATTAATGTAAAACATGACTGATTTTTAATTGAGCTGCTGGAAGCAAGTGTTTTGGCTCAGTTTTACGTGCACATGCTATCTTTGCCTGTGACATGCTTCCCATGTAAATTGCATGTGTCCTAACAGAGAGGTGCACACAAGCCCACCAATAAATTCACACCCTAGTCTGAACAACATTTACATGATTATTAGCTGCGGAGTCAAGCGTATTTTTCAGCTAAAACCACCACGTAAGGTGCTCGCTGCTGTCCTGTGTTGACCTGAATTGGCGTGCTATGTAAACTCTGTATCGTAAAAGCCCATACATGGATCCACCATGTTTTCATTCATTTGGTAAATCCTAGGGCATGTGTGTACTCCCCGTTAAGATGCACCAGAGCTTCCGGACATCCCTGACATCCCTGAGATACGACGGGCACACCTCTACACAAGGGAAATGGCCGCTTCGGTTGGTAGCCCTGCCCTGCGTCAGCTCCGTGAATGAACCCAGGCTTACTCGTCGCTCCCGGTTGACATGCCAGGTCATAGGAGCTGTAAATATCTTGCTTTTCATGCCTGTGGTGGACAGACCGACCCGACAGCGGTGTGGGAAGAGCCCCCCGCAATGACAAGCTCTTTGTTTCTTTGGCGTCACAAGCTTCTGACCTGTAGAATTGCGTGTCGAGCAGCTGGTCACACCTCCACCATTTCCAAAATAGCCCTGCCCTGGAAAGATCTCTAGAATTGCTGCCTATCATTAATACCAGCCCCACCAATTTTTAATTAACACCCTCAGAGTGTTCTCCAAATAATTCATCCATAATATTAAAAACTCAACAAGCTTTAAGGAATCTAATGCAATGAAAATTAGTACATTTGGTAGAAAAAGGTAAACTGCTAAAATCACTTCATTTGTCTAGCATCCAAAACATTTACATGAAAATTGTTTAGTTCAATAAAAAGCAATGGGATCAGGGAGCTGTTTTAATAACACTGATTTTCATAAAGCATGGCTTCTCCAGAGAAAGAAGAGCAATTCTGTGAAGACTATTGTGCAGGATTTTTAATATGATTATATATCTATATAGAAATGACATACTTCATATATTCATAACAGTCTTATGGGATGTTTTTCCCCTCAATTACTTCCCGAGTTTTTCAAAGCTTGTATGGCAATAAATGTCTTATATATCAACTAGCTGCTTTTAAAAGCATTTTAAAATCAGTTCTGGTTAAGCATTCATGCCTGTTCACATGTCCTGTTTACACCATATTTTTAATCTGCCAGACTACCCTGAGCATTTTCAGAGAATTTCAGATCTACTACATAATTTGTAAAAATGGCCATTGCTTGGCGGACCAGTAAGTTCTCTTTGTGCCAGACACAGCTACCACTGGGATGTGACTGTCGACACGTTACCCTAGAAACTTCCACTGCTCCCGGTGTCTGTGCTGCCTGGTGTTGCCACACTCCAAATCTCCGACAGGAATTCTACTGTCTGCAATCCATGTCCCAGAACGTAATCGCAGTCTTGCACCAGATGAGTTATCTGTCATCCCCTCACCCTCACCCCCACAAGTAAAGCATAGATTTTCCTCTTATTGTTTTGGCAATAATGCATGAAACATGCTTTGTTCACAAATAACGTCACAGCTGATGGTTGTTGTGAGGCATGATGAAAAGCAAACAAGACAACCAGAATCATCCATATTATAATTAACCAAGAACTAGGGTTGGGTGGTCATGTCAGGAAGTTTGAGCTTTTGTCAGTCGATGTCTTTGAACACAACATTCTTAGTGGTGTGCAGAAACAAGCACAGCATTCATTCGGTCTTCTGTATGTTGTGTTTTCAGACAAATATGTCCACCGTGGCTGAATAAAGATGCCACAATCAAATCATGTAAACAGACACAGAAACAGTGACAGATAAACAAACCCCAAACACGCAGAATACAGATGCAAGCGCACTGCTTATCAGGACCTGCAGACCTGGGGAATTATGCATTTAACCCAGAGCCAAGCAGCTCACCATCTGTACAAGATCTGACTTCTTGTGAATTTCAAGCAGCACTTTCATATTTTAGTTCATAGAAGATGAGGAATAAGTACACTTAAATGCATAGTAATATATTTTTTTTTTCAAAATGAGAAAGTTTAAAGTTTTTGCAGGATTGTTTTATATTGAACAAACATGCGTAGTTTCAGAGGGAAAAGACACATCTTTGTCAAGCTGAAGTACAGGGCATGGCAAACAGTCACTGAACATCAAAATCACACAATCCTTTGTGCTTGTTTCCTGTGTGCCCACCGTGAACTTTACACTTTGGTCTATGGCGGCCGGTAGGCCAGATGCCTAAGATAAGCCAAACGGTATAACTGTGAACTGCAATGACGTGCGGAGGAGGAAAGGAAGACCTGAGCAAGAAAGAAAGTGAAGCATGTGCAGCGAGGTGAGAGAAGAAAGGCTGCTAAAGGTGTCGGCTAACCTCAGAGGGGTGCAACAAACCTACAGGAACAGCAACATCCCCACCGTGGATGTGATTTAGCACTCTTGTGTTCATCCAAGTCAAGTTTCAAGTTGAGCCTTAAATCAAAGAGGCAAACTGCAAGAAGAAGTTGCAGACTTTGTTAAGATGCCCCTTGATCTGAAGCTGGTAGCGAGCCGCCTGTCTCGGAAAGACAGCTGCCCGTTCAGGTGCAGCGGGAGGCTTTTCTCGGGTTCGCCGTGACGACGTGGCTCACATCGCACCCCTTCCCGTCGCATCGTCACAAACCGACCCGTGTCTCCCCAAAACGATGAGGCAGTCCAGCCTCCCACTCCTGTCGGCTTTAAAACACAACGCTGCCCCCCCTGGACAAAGGTGGCAGGGGGCGTATCCGGGCAGCGGCTTGCCGAAGGGGACGAGGGCGAACTGAGGAAAGGATCAGCATCAGGTCTAGTCCGGCCGCGTTCGATCAGAACTGAGGGCTCTCAGGACTCTCGACTATCTGACGAGAAACTGCCACCCTAAAGCCAGACACAAGTGTTGAATATATTTCCTCTGATAGAGAAATGGAGGCACCCCCACAGCCTGAAATAAGCTGCAGCTCTCAAATGTGTAAAGTAGGTTGCACTCTAACACACAGTAATGTGATGGAATGCACAAACAGGCGAGACGGAGCGTAATCCCGGCTGCCGCTCCACACTGCAGCCGAGCGCACTCACACCTACAAGCCAGAGCAGAACAAAGGAAAGCTCTCCTTTACCTTAACATCCTCACCGCGAGTGAAATGGTCAGCCATGGAAACCTACTGAAATGCTGGGACTTCAACCTCCTCTCTGCATCTTCTCCGCTAGTGTCTGAAAGTCTGCCACCAGCTTTTCTCTCTCTCCCTCTCTCTCTCTCTCTCTCTCTCTCTCTCACTCGCGCCCTCGCTCTCTTTCTCTGGTACAGACAGGAGAGAAAGCGAGAGAGAGAGAGAGCAAGAGAGAGAGAGAGAGAGAGAGAAGGTGGAGATGCGGCTGCTGCTGGGGAGGGACGAGGGCTGCAGGCAGGCGGGGGCACAACAGCCAGGGTCTGCATGTGCAGAATGTGTGAGAGAGAGAGGGAGGGAGGGAGGGAGGGAGGGAGAGACAGTGAGGGAGAGATGGGAAGAGCAGAGGAGGAGGGAAACTGTAGCAGGGCAGAAGCGGAGTGTCTGACTTACTGCTGGGCCGGTTGCCCAACTGTCCATGGGGTCTGGGCCATGCTGCCAAAGCTTCACTCTGGCTCTGCTCAGAAGGCCAGGAGACCCGATAGAAGCCCCACGTTCGCTCCTCTCTTTCTCTGTCTCACTTTGCTACAGTGAGTGCTGCAGATTTGCAGCCCCAGACACCTTTCCCCCACTGCACCTTGGGTGGGCGGCTGCCAGTGATCTGAAGAGTGGGGTGTGTGTGTGGGGGGGGGGGACAGCCTTGGTGAACGTGCCCCAGTAAGAAGAGCCCCCCAACCTCTCCGTCCAAGATGTGGCAGGATAGGGGTTCAGAAATGCAGAGGACACCAGACCTGTGTAATACAGCCTCATTTATCTGAAACGGATATTTGTTTCTGTGCGATTAAAAACATCCTCTGAAATGTCAAGTTCAGACTCTATGACATTAAAAGAAATCCATTAAGAGGAATAGCCATTTTAAGTTTAAATTTGGAGGGAGAAACCAGAAAAGCGTCAATGTTTGATGTTTTTCAGACAGGTGCACTTACAACAAGTAATGTATTCACCTCTGCTATTCATTAATAAAATATTACAATGAAAGACAACAGCTCTGTTAAGAGATGTACTTTACCTTTACTGAAACCAGTATAGAATTAACTGTGTGATGCTCTTTGAGAATTACAATGAGGATTTCCAGTTTTCTAGCCAACCTAGACAGGAAAATATGAGAGATAATTAAATAATTACCATCACACAATACATGAGCATGTGTTTAATTATGAGATGCAGTTTTCCCTATGCTATTTTAATAGACTTACCCTTACAGCAGTCAGGCAGGCCAGCCAGAGTAATTGCCAGTATTCGTGGACAGCGCCTGGTGCTGAAATGTGAAGATGGAGAACTTGAAAGAAAATGGTCATTAACTGAAGCAAACGGATGATAGAGGAGCGACTGAGGGGGACTAGCTGGGAGAGGACAGGCTGATGGACTGAGGGGGACCAGTTGGGAGAGGACAGGCTGAGGGACAGAGGGGGACCAGTTGGGAGAGGACAGGCTCAAGGACTGGAGCTTGCAGGTTGTGAGAGGACAGCCTGATGGTATTCAGTGGTGGGAAACATTGTGATTCACTATCGGCCTCCTTTTGATGAAACAGGAAAAGACTCACAAAGGTATAAAATTACACCATTGTTGCTTCCGCGACCTTCTTTGTCAGTTCCTCCATTTTACAGAACAATTGTTATGTTTCTTCTTTTTCTCTGTAAAAAAGGATGCAAAGATGCGGATAAAGAGCAGAGGGGGGTTTAAAATGTGAGAAGCAAAACAAAAAAAAGCAAACGTAGAGGGAGAGCTGCAAAGTTATTTTTGTTATTTTATTTCCCTGCTATGATGCGATAAAAGCTGCAGGCCGGATTGGTCTGCAGCCTCACGCCCGTAGACCTGAAGTGTACATAAGCAGTTGGCTGCAAATCCCCGCATAATCACGTTAATGAGATTAATTGGCGAATTAGCAGCAGTCAAATGCCAGAGTGGTGGGGGAAATCAGAGCGAGGGTAATTAATGTTTGGGAAAATTGGCTAAATAACTCCTGTTGGGGGAGGAAAAAGGACAGGATGTGTGCACTCTCCTCGGGCCCGGACTGCTCAGAACCCTCACTGGCGAAAGCCAGTAAAGTCCAGGAAAGTAGGTCAGTGTGAAGCGCACTGCCGTTCCCCCCGTACGCGCGCAGCTGGCAGCCAGACCCGGCGAGACCCGGAGAGTCGGCGCCTCTTTGTTCCTGAACCCAGCCCCCCCCCCCCGCAGCCCCATTCACATGAAAGCTCTGCTCCCCAGTGGGGAATATTTTCGGGGTGGCTCCTTTGTTTTCCGTAGCTTTGTGACAAAGTCGCGTTTAGCGGGCATAAACAGCACGTGTGACGGCGGGGTATCGTAAATAATAAGAGACACAGGTACCCAGCGGGGGGGGGGCGAATAGCATCTCAGCTGGGGGCAGATGCGGGGAGAGGGGCGTCAGCAGGGGTGGGGGGCGTGGGTTCTGTGAAGGCATGTCTCCAGCTCTTGAGAGGACGGCCAGTAGGTGTTAGGATCCGCACGCTCTGCACAGAGCCTGTCTCCTCACGTGTCTGTGCCCCCCCCCCCGCAGCACAACTCTCCAATACCCAGAAAACATGACCCTCAGTTTCACCAGATTAAAACCCCATCACTTATCAGCGATGCAAATGAGTGGGAATTCATTTTGGCCAACAGATGGTTTCGCAGATAACCGCGATGGAGGAGGAAGCCGGCGAAGGGAACATCCCTCTTACGGTGGCCATGGCAACCGGGAGCCGAGCGCTATCGGCGTAGAGTGTGGCGCACGGCGGGGCTGTCGGCCCTGTCAATCAGAGCCGCGCCGTGGAGACGCCGGCGCTGCCAAGCGTATTCATCGCCCTGCTGCGTCTTTACCTGCATATGTACCGTAAGGGGGGGGGGGGGGGGGCTCTCTGTTGCAGTTTCTCTGTCCTGCTGTAATGCGTGTCAGACTTGTCCTGGACAAATATAATCTGCAGTCAAAGATTTGTTTGCAATGCAAGGGCTCCAGTGTGGCAGCATTCCTCTCGAACCCCTGCTCCTGCCCATGTCACAGAAGTACCTCTCATCATGGACCTTCCATCCATCCCTCCATCCATTTTCTGTAACCATTTGTCCTATTTAGGGTTGCTGGGGGGTCCGGAGTCCATCCCAGATGCTATGGGTGCAAGGCAGAGAGTAATACAGGGTGGGACACCATCCCCTCATAGTCATGAACCCTCCATGCTGGCTTGATTATGTTTAAATAACATAAAACAATTATCATGAACTCGTATCTAAACCGTGTAGTGGGTGCAATCTTCAGGAAACAAAGAGGAGTATTAAACTGGCAAGAAACGGCCTTAACAACAAATTGGTCAAAGAGCGGAGTGCAAATGGAGTAACTATTGATCACAATCAGAGGGAAAAGAGACAGAACAATAGTGCAGGGAGACATTAATGGATGAGACAGCCGATGGCGGCGCGTCCGGCCCTGTCTGAGCTAATATCGGCTCAGCGTGGCATCTGGGAGGAGAGGGAGTGCCAGGCAGAGTCCCTCCTGCCGCGCGAGGGGCTCAATGGAGAGGCACGGAATAGCCCGGAAAAGCCCGCCCCCGAATTAACAGTCCCCCCCGCCCTCCGCACACACACCCCTAGTCTGTAATTAAATTTCATACATCAATGATGAGCAACCTGAGAATTTGACAACGCGCAGAGGAACAGCGCATCGGAGGAACAGCGTGCATGTGCGAATGTGTGTGCGCTTATGTACGCATGTGTGTGTGTGTGCGCGTGTGTGTGTGTGTCGATGCTCTGCCCTGTTCCCTGATGAAATGAGTTTGAAGGCTGGGGTGGCGTGACCTACTTTAGTCGTTCACGTAAATATCTCCACTGACTCCAAGGAAAATTTAAAATAAAAACGACACCAGCGTTTCCAGCACGAATCTCAGGGGGGTGTCAGCGTGGAAACTCTCCTCGTCGGCGACTGATAGGCGGGAGGGTTAACACAAATTCAAAGAGATGGTACACGATCTTCCTGTGCGACGTGACCACACACATGCACGCATATGTCATAACCGGTGGTCTGGGTTAACGAGAGCTGAACGCCAGACATGTAAACAGAGTAAAATGGGGTACATTTTTTGTTTCTTGCCAGGACTGGCACGGGCTGTTCGTCTGGCGTCGCTTGGTGTCACACACAGGTGTCTAAATCCCTGAACGTTGATTCTTGCATGAACGGGAGTGAGATTATGAGGTGGAAGAGTGTGGGAGAGAGAGAAGAAGTAAGCGAGATTTAACAAGGGCCTCCACTAAACTCTCATTAATCTAAGAAAGTTAATTGCAGTTTAACCCAAATGTGGAGAGGTCTATCAAAATCAGCCTGCAACAGGAAGGGCCACAGCGGAAAGAAGAAAGGATGTGAAATTCTTTCAAAGATGAAAAGAATGTGAGAGAACGAGCAACAAAACCAGGTAGGAAAGAAAATAGCCAGTTAAGAGTGCTAATTAAGAAGGATCCAAGGACATCTGATCAGGAGTAAATTTCACCACATTTCACATTAGCTGTGTTGCTATTAAAGATATGTTTGAACATTTGAACTGGTTTCCATGGAGATTATTTACCCTGTAGAGCTGAGAAGTGTCCAAGTGAAGGATGAAAAATGAAAAACTTTAGCTGAACACAGTGAATTAATCACTCTTTAAAAACAGGAAGGTAATCAATAATCTCTTCCTGCACATTCCCAGGTTTGGGACGGCGTGCTGTGTAAGGCATACCCTTTAATTAGTGCACACCAAATTATGACAATACAGGATGGAGCCGTCCTGATCCGAGCCAGTTTCCACCCCTCTGATAATTTGAATCTGTTCAACTGGAAGCTCGAGCGGAGGATGTGAAAAACTCCACACCTGCCGCGGCACCACCCAGCGGCACGTCTGCTGCCGCAGGAAACGCAATCCGCTGAACGCAGGAAGCACATGCGAGCCCGACTACCTCAGGCGGTCCCTGTGCAGCGGCTCGTGGATGACATCACCCACACGAGGAGACGGAACTCTGCGCCAAATGAGGCACTGAGACGGCTGGGCATCGTCAAGGCAACGCGCCCCAAGAGCCCAGCTGGTTCCCTAACCCACTGAGAAGCCTCGTCCAAGACCTGCCGCCCTTCCTTAAGACGGATCCTTGGGGGCGATCTCTCAGCCAGAAACAGACACCGAAGGTGACCATCAAAG